GTCAATTTCTGGGGTCCGTGCGGTCTGTGCTCATGGTAGGAGGACGAGCTAACTGACCTTCAACAGCCTCGGAGGCCCAAACATTCTCGATGCAGGCGCCCGAGATGTTTTTCAGCATGTACAGCCCCCCGCGGAGCGACTCGCAGTTCAAGCCGGCGCGCGACCGGCTCGAGGAGCAGCTCAGATTCGCCAGTAAAATTGTGCGCCTTCTCAGCTCCTTTTCAAGAACTGTGGCTCACACGTCTGCGACAGATTTCCAACGTCTGCATCACGCTGAACGAGTACCCCTTCATCCGGTACTACGTGCCGCCCAACCACCCCCCGCTAGGTGCGCTGAAGCCACATGCGTCGACACGCGGGGCGCCTCCGCCAGAGGCGAGCGGCCGCTGGCGGACGAACCTTGCGCGCGGCGCCGAGGCACGCGCGTACGAATCCGTCGAGGGCGACTTTGCGACGAAGATCCTCGCGTTCTTCGTGCAAAACAACCTCGACGAGTATAAGAAGGCGAACCCGGATTTCGCGGTGTGTGCATTCGCTCGCATCTTCAGCGTCCGGCCCTTTATGCTCAATGGTGTGCGGTGATTTCTAGAAACAGGGGGAGCCGCCCCGGCCGCGCGGGACGCTGTTCATCACCGACCGCGCGATGGACATGATCGCGCCGTTTTTGCACGAGTTTACGTACCAGGCGATGGCGAACGACTTGTTGCCCATAGAGGACGGGACGAAATACACGTTCGGCGCTTTTCCCACCTCTTTCTCTGTATCTACTCATTAGGCATCTTTGCAGGTACAAGTTCCAGTCATCCGTAGGCGCGTTCGAGGACAAAACCGCGACGCTGACAGACGCGGACACGGTGTGGACGGAGGTCCGGCATATGCACATGCGCGAGGCGATCGATAAGCTCATGGCGGATTTCAACAAATTCTTGGAGGAGAATGCGGTCTTCAAGGGGTGCGTTCGTGTGATTACCTTGATTTACAATTGTGTGACCTAATATCGGGCACTAGGGAGGGCGCGGCGAGCTTGAACGACATGAAGGAGATGCTGGCGAGTCTGCCGCAGTATCAGGAGCAGCGGGAAAAGGTGCGGAATGCTGTAATGGAGCGGTTATAACGGAGACTGATTCGTTCCGCAGTTCTCGTTGCATCTGAACATGGCGCAGGAATGCATGGGCATCTTTGAGCGGGACAAGCTGCCCCTAGTCGCCACTATCGAGCAGGTAATATCCAGCGGAATCTGCGTTTCGCGAACTATGCTCATGTACCGCTTGCTGCAGGATTGTGCTACCGGCGTGACTGCTGAAGGGAAGAACCCCAAGAATCTCGTCCAGGATATGGTCCCCCTGCTCGATAGCAGAGAAGTCGTGTACGCGTTGCACAGTTGTTCTATCTTGTGGCTGGAGTAACGGGACTAATGACATCACGCAGAAATGCTAACAAGGTGCGCATCGTGGCGCTGTACATCCAGTTCCGCGATGGCGTGCCGGACGAGGATCGACGGCGGCTTTACCAGCACGCGCGGCTGTCAATAGCCGAGCAGGAGGCGGTCAACGCGCTGGTGCACCTAGGGGTGCGCATCAGTCGGGTGCGTCGAGTTTCTTCTCATCCTCAAACGATAAGTGAATAACACGTGGAGTAGGGTCCGGGCGACCGCGATACCAAGAAGAAGATCAAGCAGAAGCCGAATAGCGACGAGGAGTACGAGTTGTCGCGGTTCAAGCCGTCGATGAAGACGATTCTGGAGGAGCACGTCGCGGATAAGCTGGATAAGACTTTGTTCCCGTACGTGAAGGATGCGCCGTCGCTGGCTGCTCCGGCAGCGAGCCTGCGGAGCGGGACCCCGGTGCAGGCGACGTCGCTGCGCAGCCAGAAGCCGTCGTGGCACAAGGCTGCACGGCCGGGCGGCGTGACCGACACACGGCAGCGCCTGCTAGTGTTCGTCGCGGGCGGGATGACCTACTCTGAGATCCGCGAGGCGTACCAGCTGTCTGCGTCGCTGAACAAGGATATCTACATCGGTCTGTCCTTTTCCTCATGACCCCCTGTGGCCCCTTGAATCTAACCCCACCTTTCCGCAGGCTCGACGCACACGATCACACCGCGCAACTTCATCGACGACCTGCAGGTGCTCGAGCTCGGCGGAATGGGCTCGAAGGCGATCCCGAACGGGCTACGGGAGCCCCGCGCCGGCGGGCGGTCGTTCCAGGAGTTCTACGACGAGCGATACTACACGCGCGATGCGCCCCCGCCCGCACGACCCGCGCCCGCCGCCTCGCTCGCTGCACCGCGCCAGGAGCGGCGCCCCGCCGCACGCCCTTCGCCCGCCGAGTCGTACGCCTCCAACACGTCGATGACGCCGTCCGCGCAGGAGGAGAAGAAGAAGAAGAAGGGCCTGTTCCGGTTCTGAGTTGGCGTGGCGTATTGTACGTCGCGCATCATTATTACTGTTTCTTTCGCGATTACTGCGGTTTGCTCGCATATTACTTTTTTTTTTCTCTGGCGATGGCGATACCTGCCTATACTATGTACCTTAGCGCGGGGTCTTTCTTTTTTTTTACAGGGGAGTGGAACTAAACTGAACACTACTTATTCGGCGGAATAACATTGTACTACCAACATTAATGTAAACTCGCACAGGACCGTTATACATAGATGATTATCCACCGCAGGATAATCTCAGTTGTCGTTTACATTTCGGGCGTCTTCCTCGTATGATGATTGCCAAAATTGACCAGGGCAATTATCGTTGTAAATAAACGATCCGCCAAACAACCGCTCTCGACCCGAAAAGGCAAGTGGCACAAAGAAGTAGATGGAGCTGACAAGGATATACATTATGTATGTAATAAGTTTTTGCCTTTCTTCTTTCTCAAAAAGAACTTTATCATGATATGACTCGGGAGGCTACCTAGACTCCCCGTGAGTTCACGTCTGCGGTCATGATAACTATTGTCCCATGCGACTGAGAAGAGTGTAGTCCTCCTTTCCTTCATAAGACACGAGTGGGCTGGGACGACTGTTGACATGCAGGGACAACAGGTCCGGCCGGGAGCTGGTATGCTCAGATTTCCTCGTGAGGAATATTGGAAAAGAACTTACTAGTGACCGACCGGATCCCCGATAAGTTTCGCCAACTTGACGGCGTCCAGATCGATGTCGGCGTACAGAATTATCTCCTCGTCTGGTTTCGTCGGCGGTGTAAGCTGAGTTCCGTCCGGGCCATATATCGCCGCGAAGCCACCTCCGTGCTGGAGCCCTTCTCAGCATATAAGCAAATAAAGCAGAGAGGTGCCGACTTACAGGCATCTCGTAGTGGGTACCTTTGACGCTGTGAATACTAGCGATTAGCGAGATTCAGCGGGGGTGGGAATTAAGAGTTACGCACCCGCACAGCTCGGCATTCTTGCTGCTGAGCATCTGTGTGCTAGATATCACAAACATTTGGCCTTCCAATGCCGCAAATTTGGATTGGACAATTTGAGCATCGGAAGATAGTTGAGGTGGTGAGCCGTTGGCGACAGAATCGCAGTACGGCCAGCTGGCAACGTGAATTTGGACTCCCAGGCTGTAGTGATGGAATCTCAATAATGGCTGAAGGTGCTCCCTTATCGCCAGTTGATGAATAATAATACTGGGTGCCATGACTGATTTTTACCAGCAGTTGAGAGCACCGATGGTAACCCCACCTGGTCCTTTCACAGCGCTTTGGAGCGAGTCTCCTGCCGGAAAATTGAGAAGGCGACAATTGTATAAATGCAATAACGAACCAGGACCCTCGCCCCAAACTGTGCGCTCCTGCCCTGTCGGCTGCTGCCGCTATATAAGCTGCCAGAAGATAAAACGATTAACACCTGCCTTGATTTTCCGACGATGCAAAACGACGACGCCCTCGGGATTTATAATGGTTTGAGATGCGTACATGCTTTCCCCGTCCAACTCGCAGAATCCAAGGACGACCCTATAATCTTGTTTGATGGATGTGGTCTGGGGTTGCGGTATCAGATTTACCAGATTCCAGCTTCCTTTGTAGCGTCTAAGATTTCCTTGAACTCGTTCGATTGCACAGAAAGACAGTTATTTTTGAACTTTAAAAGGAAGTGTGCGCTGAAAGGCTGCGCCCAGATGCGCATCGGGTAGCCTGGAATGAAAGACTCGGGAAATCCCAGGAGCTCGGCACCATTGGACGCAGCCTCCTTGATCAGCGAGACTGTCTTTGCGACCCCCGCTTTGAGGTCCCACCAAGCGGGTTCAGCTTGAATGGCAGCAATCCTGGAGTGCATTGCTGGTTGGCATTCGAGAAAATCTCCACCGAGAGGGACCTACTTCATGGTGAATCTGCTACAGAGTGGTGGCGGGTGCAAGGTACTTTCTCAGGTCGAAGCCTTCGAAAGCTGTCTTTATAGATATTCGACCTTCCGGATCGTAAAATTGCTTTGTGAATGCCCGTCTGGTGTCGGAGTTGACAATCCCGGAGTTGAAGGATCATGATGATGCGGAACGCTGACCAGTTGGATGACTCAGCCCGAGGGCTGCCCGAGACCCAACCGCAACTCACGATGAAGTCTTGAATTCGGGTCAAACCCTTAGATAAATGTATAGTATAAATACTGGGAATGGAGCAGAATTCTCAGCAGCTTAAAGTTTGTAACTCTAGTGGAACAACCACTTTGTGCAATCTTACTGGAAATGTCGGACAACACGCCCCGCTGATAATGGGACGTTTGATACAAGTACACTCTTAGCAAACTTAATTTCTGGTCAGGATGGAAATGACGCGTACGCCAGTAATTGGCGCAAGAGACGAAATCGCACATCGCAATCGCTGCATCATTAGCATCAATATTGATGGTTCAACTTGGGATCGCTCTGGAGACCACGATTATCATCCTAAAATCACAAAACTAATACGGATCATAGAACAGAGGATGCGCTCCGCGCTCAAGATACGCAAAAAGTCAAAAAGTCAAAAAAACGCGGCCCTAATAAAAGGACCAAAAATAGGCCCTAACCCGGAATTGAACCGGGGACCTCCTCGAAGTTAGGCGATGGCCCTAACAAGGAATCATACTACTAGACCATCAGGGCAACACGAATTGTGGGGAATCTTACTCACTGATACCGTCAAGATGCCGTGCATCTAACGAAATGTGCCTACCAACTCGAGTCTTGTTGCTGGCGCCTCGTTTGCAGCGTACTCTTTGAAAGGCGGCAGTCCCCCAGTCACTCGAGCATATCGGAAGCAGACGCGGGGCCGGCGGGATTTTCATGGGGATAGAAATGTTGATGCGTCAGTGGCGGTGCCGTCGCCAATCTCCGTTTTCGTCCCTCACCACGGTCAACGCCAACGCCTCCCAAGCGCAATCCCAGTCCCTCTCAAGCGAAAAACATCCCGCCAAAGTCAAGGTTGGGCCAAGGCCAAGACAAGCGAGCAAATCCCGTCTACGGATCGCGCGGTCCTCGAGTCCCCTGTGTATTCGACCCACAGTGCACACTACAGTACAGAAGAAAACGTACCCACTCCTACACGTTGAGGGCTTTCCGGAGCAACTCGTAGACCTCTCTGCACGTCTCCCTGTCTATTCGTACCATGTAGGAGACGCGCTAACTCTTTTCTTTTTTCTTCTCCGCAGCTGGTCGTGGTGGACCAAACGACCGCCTCCGTCCGCTGACCCCGCATTACTACAATTATAGCAGACCGAGGGCAGCGACGCCGTTCAAAGTGCTCGGGTACTGGACTTCGGGTTACAAGAATGATTGTTTTTCTGCGCATGTTTTTACAGTGAGCGTCATTCACGTATGGACTTGCGGTTTCTTCGATTCTCAGGAGGGTCTGTGTAGAACAGGAATACAGGTAACATTGTATGGCTGAAAGATTATTTCCGGTTGTACTTGTCCAAAGCGGTGGCACGAGGTAAGCTAGCAGTCAGCATTCACGGAGCACACTTCAACGCACTCTGGTTCACTTTTCATGATACCTTGACAATTACTTTCTCCCCGCTTATCTTGTTATTCCTGAGCAAATCCAAACCCGTCTCAACACGGTCCTTCAACGACCCCTGGTCCAGCAAACGAACGCGGTTCGGTTGGATTATCCCCGACGCAAGCAATTCCGGCAGGATCTTGGGCATCAAGTTCGCATTCAAATATTCGTTCTGAAATAATTTCAACACTCGTCGACACAGAAATAGACAGGACGTACATCGCGATACTGGAACGTGCGCACACCCACGACCTTCGTCTCCGGCAAGAATGGACTGCGGCCGGACGGTATCTGCATGTGCATTGGCGCCTCACCAACTGCGACCTTGTTGCCCTCCTTTATAGGGAGGAGGAGTGCCACGGTTCCCTGCGGGCTGATGACCTGCGCTATCTTCGCCAGGGTGCCCTCCGCCGTGATCGAATCATACGCAAGCGCGATTTTGCCGTCGCCACCGACGGCGCTCCCGATGTCCGCCGCGAGGGTCGGGCCGTTGTAGTCGAAGACGCTCTTTGCGCCGAGGGTCCGCAGGAACGCGTGATGCTTCGGGGACGCGGTGGCCACGACGTTGGTGTAGCCCGCCGCGCGGAGCAACTGGATCGCATATTGCCCGGCCGTCGAGCCCGCACCGTACACGAGGATTGGGACAGCGTGATTCGGGGGCTGGGCGGTCGGGGGGAAGCTGGTAGGCACGGGCAAAGAAAGCTGGTCAAATAGGGTATAGAAGGATGTGATGAAGTTGTCGGGAATCGTCGCGGCTGCGTCAAGTGCTATATTCTCCGGGACCTGCTTTTATTCAGTATACAGAATTCCGGTCCTCTGGCTCAAAGCCGAACCTTCGCACAGAGCTCGTGGGGCAATACGACGAACTCTTGCAGCGTTCCTTTGAGGCCGTCCTTTCGGCCTCGCCCATACACACTGAAGCCCGTAATCTGGAATAAAACAGTCAAGACGCGCAATATACGCATGGGCCAACTGTGCGCACCCGGTCGCCTACTGCCAGCGATGTAACACCGGTGCCGACCTCGTCGACAGTGCCCGCGGCATTGAACCCCAAGATAACGGGATACTCTTCGACCCCGAACCCCACATCCGTGATATACGTGTCAAACGGAATTATCGACGCGTACGCGACTTTGATGAGCACCTGGCCTGGGCCCGGTTTTTCTGTTTCCACTTGGATGGCATCGAACGAGCCTTTGGCAAGAGCGGCAAGAGCAGTGTGTGTTGGCATTTTAGGTGAGGTTTTCAGTGTCCTCCTGAATATTTATACTGACGGCTGGTTCACGGAGTGCTGTATATCAGCGGGCTGCGCCGACGGCCCTGCGGAAAAGGCTTACCATTGCATTTGGCGAGGCTTACTTAGCATATATAAATAGATGACTAAGGCTCACTAAGCCTACTACTACTGCTTAGGCGCAACCGTAAGCTAGTTATTCAACTATAAGCAGTTGCGGGGGACAAAATATGCTAAATAGCCCAACAGTCGATCCTAGACTGTCTCCCGTCGATTACGGCCAACAGTAGAACGGCCAACAATGCCTCTAAATACTAACTGTAATATTCCATGGAATCGATATATTCTTTTCGCACAAAACTATGAAACACATCCAATTGGATTAGGGAAGCATCTACAAGTTCGAGTTGGAGTTGAACTTGAACTTGAACATGTGGCTGTGTAACATGGTTGAAATAACTACGTGGTTGAAATAACTGACAGAGACTAGAGTCACGACGACTACATATTCTTCGACAAAACTTATACGTAATATCCTAATCATAATTTCTGATATGTACCAATCCGAAGGCGTCCCCGAGTTGAGCCAATAAGCTACAAGTTAACCCCAGGGGAATGCACACATATGAGCCTTCTACTTTGCATTCGCCCGCCGTCTCACCCGAGTACCTGGGCCAATGTTTTAGGCTCTCAAGCACCAGTGACTTCATCAATTCTTCCGACGCGTTCCAGGCATTGGTATTTAGTGCAGCCCGTGCGAGCACATTCACCGCCCCCCCCCCCCCCGCGCAAAAAAAAAACAGCCTCACTCGGGTTGCATCTGGGCAGCTAGAATAAGATCAAAGGCATGTTCGTATAATCCTCCTATCCAATAGAAAAACCAACGCTGTAAGCAGCAACGAATAAACGCATCAACAAAGAGATCTTCATGATGATCTCGAAGCCCAGCCTAAATTTCAACCAATAAATAGCATTCACACAAGGATATGATAATATAACCATAACCTGGGACGCGATTCGAACAGTGTAAGTTGCGGGGTTTGCTGGTTTCAGGCTTCGACAACTTATTTGGACACTTGACGAAATGATCAAAGATTATCACGATTCTCCATGGGGTAAGATTGAGAGAGATAAGGGACGCGTCAGTGGCAGTGCTCTCGACAATCACGGCCATAAATCGGACTTGCCTTTTCCGACACCTATTTTTGAGTTCTCCCAAACAGTTCGCTCCTTGTTCGCTCACTACAACAGAACCGCTCAATACCAGGGTTAAGGTGTCAAAACCGAAACTCAACCCGCGTGCTGTTCCTCTTGGTTGTAGAAGGGATCCGTGGTAAACTAATCGAGTTCTCCCGGGCGGCGGGCCAAGGTAACTCGCGCGTTAGTATTCACGAAAATTTCCGTCTCATTCAGGAAAATACTCTTTCTAGACGGTGCAGAGAGTTACGCACACTGGAAGCTCCGCGACTTGTCTGTCCTTCAAAAGCCGGATCCGAGTTTCTTGGATGGCATCTCGAACGCGTACGGGGATCAGGCCTCAATGGATTCAACTCACGCCAACAATGACTCCAAGATCTTCTTTCTGAATAAAACTACGACACACACACGCAATAGTATCAGAAAAACATCTATAACTTGAAGTTTGAGTTACCAAGCGTTGGAATTGAACATGTGGCTGTGTAAAATGGTTGAAATCGCGGAGCTCAGGCGCAAGTGACATATTCCTCATCGCCCTCGAATGAAACAAATACATTAAAAGATTATATTATAGATGTAGACTATTCCCAAGATCACAGACAATGATACAATGTTAGCTTCAAGATGTTCCAGACGCCTGAATAGATAGAGATAATTTAAAGTAGCGCCAAACTCAGAAAACTAGCCAAGACGGGGAAAATTAGATGATGCGGGACAGATTGCGATGCGGCGTTAACAGCAACGGCTGCCACAGGCTTTGTTGTGCTCGACGCCCCAGTCTGTCCGCGAATGAACGTGTTCCACGCCGCAATCGTCTCTGCGGGGTAAACGAACGTGGAGGTTGCCGTGCCTGCGTCGTATACGATGGGGTCCGAGCCAGGGAGGACGTTGCCGATCATTGGAGAGTTTTCCCCGCCCACGACAGCGACCGTCCCTGCGGGGGTTTTGACGACTGAGCCGGTGGTGTTGGAGCCGATGACGAACTCGCGGAGGAACGTCAGCGCCTTGAAGATATCTCAGTCGGGAAACGAGAACAGGAAGGATGGCGGGATGGCATACCGCGACTGGCGTCTTCGCCGAAACCAAGTGGCCTGCACCGTTGAAGAGGACGTACATCCAGCCGCGCTCTTGATGAACGATCCCGGCGAATTTGCCGGTATCGTCGGTCCAAGGAGTAGAAGGCTTGCGGGTGAAACCCTGGATCCCGCTGAAGGTCGTGTTCTGGAATATCAGGGTTGGTTAGTTTCGTGACTCTTACATCCAACTAGGACTAACCTGAATCGTCACTACGACGAGGATGAATAATGTGGAACAAAAAATAAAAAGGCATGGGTGCACACCTTCTGTCCCTCTGTGAGCAATGAGGGCGTCGTCGTTTCCGGAGTACAATATAACCGAGACGCTATGGGCTGTTGCATTGGTTGCGAATTCGGAGAGGAAATTCATGGGACTGTTTCGGGATATGAGATATGGTTCGCTCATAATCGGAGAGAGAGAAACGCACACTGGGCCTATTGGAAAAAGTTGTTGAATTAAAGTCTCGTCCCTGGGTACGGTTACATATTACTTACTGGGGTCGTTTTCTAACGATGCATCGTCAAAGGCACATTAATGGGTTTAAGAATTTCCGACGTACCTAGGTCGCCGAACACATATTCGAAGGTTTCTTCCCAA